TAGTTTTTTTTTTACTCGTTATATTAGATTGTCAAAATAATATGTAAAGTGGGATTTATCTAAAAACTCTTAAAAGCGTACTTAAAAACTGTCTCCTAAAAAGCTAATCTTCTAAAAACCTTTCCTAAAAACTTTTCCCCAAAAAACATCTCTCCTAAGAACTCTTTAAAGCGTATTCAATTTCAGTTTTTCTGTCTATATATTTTTATTGGTTAATGATCATCACTGAAAAAAATAAAGAAAAAAAACATTATTATACATCTCAAAAATAAAACCTTCCTATTTAACGATTTTCTTCAAATTATCTTTCAATTACTTTTATTACTAAAATTACATTTTCGCATCTTCAATAGCTTTATTTAATTGTTTTTTTAAAATCTTCTGTGGAAGCTACAATTTAAATACAAGCCAAAAATATTTAAACAGTTTAAATTACACGGATCAATTACTAAGCTCCTTACTTTAAATTTAGTTTAAAAAAGTTTACTTAATTAGAACTTTCCCTTCGTCTTTTTTCAAATTATAAGTCTCACTTTTTTTAAAATAAAATCAGTAAAAATATATTTTAAAATTTATCATACTTGTTAGCAAGTATTATATAAAAGTATTATAATTGTTAAAAAATTATAGTTGCTCAAGATAAAGCTCTTAACTTCAGAAGTTTAAAGCTTTTAGAAATACAGGGTTTGGGGCAATGCAATAATAAACCACGTTCTTAAATTTTCGAGCGAACTTCTTTTGGATAAAAAGCCATGGAATGTAGACATTAAAGCGTTCCGGTATAGGGGTGTTGTCTAGTTTAAATTAAGGAAAGTACCTATATGGAAACAATATTAGAGAATATTTTGAGTTGAAAATACCGGAAGGAGTTTCTTATCTTTATCATCTTCCTACCCCTTCAAATATGTGAATACAAGTCGTAATATGCTAAACTATTATGAACTTTGATACTTTTTTAAAAACTGAATAGATAATTATTAAATTGTTACTTTTCAGAAAAAATTAAGTTTCTAAACAATGCTTTATTTCTTGTAAACCGTTACCATATGAATGGAAAAATTACCAAATAAATGATTTTAATACCGTATATTTGGGTTACCAGAAATGTCAGTACCAACCAGTATGGTAATTTTAACAGAATATTTTTCTCCGTGAACTAGTAGGCTTCGTCTCCATCTTGCTAAGGCTGGCTTTTTTAAATTTGTTTGATTTAATCGCCAGTCGTTTAGTCGTGATCCTTCTGTTTTAACAAATGCGTCAACAACGAACTGTCCAAAAGATTCCCTCTTTTATGAAGAAAGCTGAAATTGTGTTGAATAGTATGTCTGTATAGGCATAGTATTGCACGTTCCCTTCCTGCCCTGAAAGATGCATTTCTTGCCCTTGAGGTGGCTGCAAGGCAAATGGGCTTAGTCATAAATGTAGAGAAAAGAAAATATATGTTATTCTTAGGAAATAGAGTCCCAGACCCCAATCTTGAAATAAATTCTTATAGATTTGAAACAGTGAGGAGTTATACTTACTCGGGATCAATTATTACCATTGACAACAGAATTACTCCTGAAATAAAAAACCGACTCTATCTGGCAAATATGGCTGGTCTATGGGCTGAGAAGATTTATTAAATCTAGGTTTCATTCTAAAAAAACAAAGTTCTTAATCTACAAAACTCTTGTCCGGCCATTCTTGACATACGCTTCTGAAGCTTGGACACTGACAAAACTGGAGGAAAATTGTATCGCAATATTTGAGAGAAAGATTTTGCGGAGTATACTTGGTCGTGTAAATGAAAACAATAACTGGAGAAGGAGATTTAACTTTGAACTGTACAAGATTTATAAGCAACCTGATATTATTAAATACATAAAAAAAGTAGAATGAACTGGATCGCCCACGTGATTCGAACGAGTGAAGACAGCACAATACAAAAGATACTGCTTTTTAGACCCACTGGAAAAAGAAAGTGGGGAAGGCAGCGGTTGTGATGGGCTGACTTAGTGGAGTCTGATTTTCTCGCAATTAATGAAAAGAATTGGAGATCAAAGATAAATCGGAAGTCGTCATGGAGAAATCTTCAGAGGATGGCATTGGCTCACATTGGGCTGTCTGGCCAACTATGATGATGATGATGATAGGCATAGTATTCTAATTGAGTAACTTTGATGCGCTTGGCAGTGAGCTTCTCTATATGCTCCATTCCAACGTCTCTCGGAAAAACTGGAGGATAAACTATTGGATCAGAGCAGTAATTAACAGGAGAAATTGTTTAACCCACATATCTAACAGGGAAGATGCTTAAATCTCAATTAGATGGAGGTTCTTCATTTACCTCCAGCAATATAACTTGTACCTGTTTTTGAAATAGGAACATTGTATCGCCTCAAGTCAGAATTTGAATTTCCCATAAAAATCAATTTGACATGCGTTACTGGATTTGATTGGATTACTTTATGGATTTTGATGCCACAAAAGGATTGATTTGCCTTAATAAATTATCCAATTGCTCCATCACAGAACGTAAACTTCCATTGCCGTTATTCATTAGTCTGCCAGTAGCTTCACTGGAATCGAAAACATATAACTGTCCATATCCAAATAATGCAGAAGCAAGTGCAGCATTATATTCACGTTGATGATCTCGATAATTTCTTGTCTCGATTGAATTCTCACACAGTAAATTTTTAAGCAAATCAGAGATGATCTTTATTTTTCCATCATGGCAATATTTAGTATTCTTCCCAGTAGAATTTTTTTTTTCTTTTGCCCAGAAGCGAGCTGTGCCAAGCTCGGTCGTATTTCGGTCGTGCAACCGATGTCATGTGCTTCAACGTCAACAGTTAAATCATGTATGACGGCACGTCTCTTATGCATTCTTTCAATGTTACGCCTTTCAAAACTCTCAGCAACTCTTTCTTCTGCTCTTTCCATCACGCTTTTTTTTATTTTACTTAAAAAGTTAGCTGCACGGCTCATACTCATTTTTCAATGAATAGTAGTAATAATAATAATAATATTAAATACGTAAGCAAATACTATGAGAAAGAATTCGTAAACCAAATAATTAATAATAAATAAGTAAACATATAAAATTAAATCTGTAAATAAAATATTTAATAATCAATCCGTAAACAAAAGCGCAATCGACAAAAATTGAGTTTAAATGACAAGAACCACTCATTTCTGTCTAACCTAATAGCTGCAAATATACTAGTAAAACAGTTATGAATTTAATTTTTAAAAAAAATTTGAAGCAAAGTTAAAGCTTGGAATAATACCGATTTATATTTTAAAATAATTAAAAATACAAAACGTTCACAATTTAAAACGAAGTGCTTAACTTCGTGAAAGAGTTGTTGTTGAATATATATATATATGTTTTATTATTTATTTTATTAACCCAATTATTTTATTTATTTTTATTTTTTATTTCGTATGCCAAATTTTTTCTATGCATAATAGTTTTATTTTTGTGAACACTTTTCTTCAATGTATCGAACAATTTTTTTCATTAAAAAAAATAGTGACCCGATTATTAATGATATGCAAAACTTTTGTAATGATATAACTTTCTGAATGTAGAATTGTGGATTTTAAATGGTGTATTTAACAATCTTTTTTTCTTATAGATACTTTACGGAATATCGATATGGAATTCGTTCTTCATGTTCTGAAAATGATAAGATTGATACTGATGATACAGGTATGTTTTCATTATTTTTAACTCAAGTATTTTTTTCTTTAATCTAATAACTGCGCATTTAGAATATATGTCGCTAACAATTATGCTATTTTCTAGTTGAAATTCCTTCAAATGTCCTAAACTTTTATTTACTCCATTTTTTTTTCTGAAATTATATTTAACTATCTAATTACAACCGAAAACTATTCATAGTTTGATTGTTAATGTGAGTTTTTCCTGAAAATCATCCACACTTTCTTCAAATATCATGTTTAACTATTTAAGTACGTACAGAAACTAGTTATATTTTGATAATATAGAGCAGGTTTTTTCGTAAATTTCTTTTTCCTTCTTTTACGTCAACCATAAGTTTTACCGTATATGTAAGGCTTGTTTTTTAAGCATAAATTTTTCTTCAAATATTTCAAACTTTTCGTCACTAAATAAATATTTTTCATATAAAGAAATTAATTATATTATTGCATTACTCTTTCAGAATTTAAGTAATTGAAAATTACTTTAAAAAAAATATCTTAGTTCAAATCTTATTCCAATAATAGTTCAAAAATTTAAATATGTTTCAGTGATATTTGTCAACATCTTTGCATTCTGCGAATATTCGCCTGGTTTAAAAGTAAAGTTTTAAAACTTAATTTTCGCGAAGCAATTTTTTAGAGTAGGACCCTGCAATACCTTGAAATACCTTGAAATCAGATCATATAATTAACTTGACTTTTTCGATTCTAGTTTCCTCTATAACCATCTGGTTAATGGAAGTCTTTTTAAAATTATATAATTTTAAGTTCTATGTAAGGAAAAAAATAATCAACTGCCATTACTTTATCAACATGAAAAAATAAATGTTAAATTAGCCTCTTTCAAACTTAGTAAAATTGCTGATTTGAAAACAGTGCCAAATTTAGGCAATTTTTCACGTCAAAAATGACCTCAAAATTAAATTAACTATTGCAATATCTATTTTTTTAACAGCATATAGATCTTAATGTGTTTACACACGTATAAAGATGAACCTGAATCATACTCTCTTCATCCATTCTACATTATTTTTTTTTTAAATTCATGATTTTAAATTTGTTTCTAAATACCCATCATACTATTTTCAGTATAAAAATTTAAAAAAATTCCAGGTGCTTAGGCAATAATAGGAAAATGGTATAGTAGAAATAATAGAAAAACGTATAATAGAAAAATGGCAGAGGTGGAGAGTTTTAATTTATAACATTATTTTAATGATCTATTTATTTTAAAACTGACAAATTTATATTTGAACATTTTTATAACTCAAAAAGTTTGTTTTGATCGCCATAATAACCTTATTTAAAAATAGAAATCCGTTTGCAGGAAAGTATTTAATTATTTATATGGTACAGTAAATCATTAAATATTAACTTTTGAATCTTTATTTTCAAGCCTTATTTTTAATTCTGTTTCTAAAAATGCAAAATTTTTTGTCGAATTTCAAAATTAGTTTGATAAACGCGGAAACATGTTGAGATAGGAATATCCTTGATACAAATCCTAAGTTATGGCATATCCTTTCGTTATGAGATAATAACTCTTCATAATCATACATTGCTAAAAAAATTAACGCGTCTAGAAAGAATGAAAAGAAAGTTTACAAGTACGTAAGTACAACGTTGATATAAGTAATTAATTAATAAATCAAAGCAAAATTATTATTTATTGCAGAAAAAATACAAATTAATGGAGGTTTTAGCACCCCATTTAACTACCTCTAGCGCGAATGCAGAATGCGACACTTTGTGCATTGAGACATGCAAGTCCCTTATGATGTCCTGCGACATCACATTCCACAGTTGCTGTAAAAACACATCTCCCAAATCTACTAAACTTGGAGGTTTAGCTAACTCCGAGGCTATCTCAAATGGTCCTGTATATGATCGTTCTGTGTCAAATCTGGGGTTTGAATAAGTCAGAGAAGAATGTTAATGTGACGCAAGCATTCCTGTGATACTCTAACTGTGTGTGATAGAGCATTATCTTGTCGAAAAATGGCTCCTAGAAGCCCAGCCATGAGTGGTAACACATATGGTTGAAGGATGTTGTTGGGTTGTCATAGCACCGGAGATCAATAGTAGGGGTCATCATGTGTCGTGTGCGATAGGACCCTATGCAATCACACCAGCAGTTGAAACAGTGTACTGTTGTACAGTATAGTGCAGGATAGAGGTGTTTACCACTGTGCCTCCACACTCATACACTATGGTCATCACTGCCCAAATTAAATCTGGTTTCATCACTGAAGAGGACCTAGTTCCATTTGGTCTTGTCGAGAGAGACACCACCCCAAGCAAGGGCAACGATGGGCAGGTGTTAATTCCACCAACGTCAATTCTGTTACTGGTCTGATAGTGTAGGATGCCATCGCATACAAAACGTGATGACCCCTAATATTGATCAACGATGCTATGACATCCCAGCGGTATGTTCGTAACCCACAGAACATCGTTCGTAACCCTTTAGTCATATGTGTTGCTACTCCCATGAGTCATTTCTCATCAAGACAATGCTCAGCCACACGCTGCAAGGATGTCGAAAGAATACTTTCGCCACGTTACCATCCTACCTACCTGAGTAGCTCGATCCCTAGACTTGTTACCGAACAAGCATATAAGCATATGTGGGACCACTTGGGATGACAAGTTGTGCATCCTCCGAGTTCAGTCGAATTGGAGGTGTTTTTACAGCAACTATGGAAGGTGGTGCCACAGGAAATCATTAGAGATTTGTATGCCTCAATGCTAGAGCGCATCGCAGTCTTGCATTCGCGCTAAAAGTGGCTCAAGAGGGCAATAAAACTTCCATTCAATTGTATGTTTTCCTGCAATAAATTGTGATTTTGCTTTGTTTCTTTAATGACTTACTTGTAACAACGTTGTACACGCATTTGTAAGATTTCGTTTCATTCTGACAACTCTTTCTAGGTACATTAATTTTTATAGCAAGAAGTGTATTCAGAACATATATCAGAAATATATTGCTAAAATACAGATTGAAAATTTATAAAAAGCATAATTTTATAAACAGTCTGAGGTTTCATTAGAATGGCATGCCTAAAAATGGCGAATATTCCATTAACGCGTGCCTTCAAGCTATTTTTTAACACTCTAAAAGTGTAAAAAAAAGTATTTTGCTCTACGGGGAAAAATTCCGGTAGATAGAAGGGGGTATTGTAAGTATAATGCCGTTACAAGGTTAGTTTATTCTTTATGAGTTAGTTCATTCTTTTATCTTTACTTCAACGGAGGTTTTTTTTTTGTCTATTCTAGTCTGTAATATATTAGTAGCGAGCGTTATGCTTTAAGTATTAGAACTTTATTTAAATTTTTTAATTTAAATTTTCTATTCTCTCTCACTTTTTATGAATTTTTTGTAATGCTATAATAAAATAAAGGTAAGTAGAAAAATTTTCCGTTTTAATTTCAAATTAATCCGACTCGAAATAAATGCAAGTAAAAGGGGCTTATTTAAGAAAGAAATAATTAATCAATAATCAATTAATCAATCAAAAACTCTTTATCAAATAACAAAGAAAATTACCAGTTTTCGATTAAAAATATAGTCCTACTTTTTTAATATATTGGGAGCAGAAGCGTATGATACACTAGTTTTCACTAAAATCTAAAATATTACTCAGGAAACATTCACAAGTGCCGTCTAATTTCAAATACTATCAAGGTATTATATTTTGATTCTTCATAAAATTTTCATAAAAGTTGCATTGTACAATTAATTACTTAAACTGAGTTTAAAAGATAGTCTATGCTTCTTAATTTTATTTGCGCTGTTGTATGTACATTAATAATTATACTAATTATGCAAAAATTGCTCATAAATCTTTTATTTCATATTTTTTTAAAAATTCCATTATATTTAAAAAAATAATTTTAAATTTTAATGTTTCTAATTTTTGATATGACTGAAAATATTATTTTTTAATTTAATAAATTTTAATTATTTTATTATAAAGCTTTTGCGACATTAAAATACATGCATGAAAAAGCAATAATTAAATTTAATTTGCATACTTTTTCTTTTACTTAGAGATTATTTCTTTGAATGGTGGTGTATTAAAAAAAAATTTCCAAGAGAAAAAATAAAGGGAAATATCTAGAGCATATACATCTCTCGATCTTTATTTTTTAATGACACTTATAATGGAGGCATTCAAAGTTTCAAAATCCTTTTTCGTTCAAATATCGTTTTTTCTTTATTTGAAAGCGAGTAATTACTATAATTTTTTAAAAACAAAAATTTTTTCCCTGGGGAAAGGGGGCTGAAATAGTTGAAACTCTCGCAATATTTTGAACTTTGTAAACCATAAAATAGAGATGAAGCCATACCCAAGGTCAAAAATTTTGAAATAGTTAATTTTTAGTTGAAAAATGAAGAAGCTTTTTACGTCTTCATAACTCCAACTGATCCAGTTGACATTCAGAACAATTGTTCAAATGTATGGTAGAATAAATTGTAATTACAAATGCTGATGAATTCAACAATATTTAATTAAAATAGTACTTGTTAAAGAGTAATAAATTCGTATTTAATATTATTTTTCAGTCTTATTAAATCTGAAAAGGGGCACCAAGGGCTTATTCAACATCACTTTCATATTAGTTTCCTTTTTAGAACTCACAATCTTAATGTGTTTAAAAAATATAGTAAATTAATCTCAATATGCATTTTTCAGAAATTTTTGATGTTAATTTTATTTTGCGTAATTATTTGTGAAATTAAAAATTCTATTTATTTTACTATTTAATTTTATTTATTTATTTATTTATTATTTTTTTGCCCACTGTACACTGCACTTTATGACAGTTTATATGTGTACTTCGTCAAATCAATCCGTCAAGAAGATTGAAATTTCTCTCCAAATAATTGACCTCAATTAATATTCTTATTCAATTAGTAAAAAGGTTTACTTACTTGATATGATAAGTTTGTCAATTCAATCCGACGAAAAGAGATCCACCAGAACACTCCATGTAAACCAACCGCCATTTGGTCGCCAAATAGTTAATATCATGAAACTGCAGATTTTCCGCCTTTAAATTTATAACAATACTCCAAGAGCATTTGTTTTACTTTTAAGACAATCCCCATTATTTCGCACAAGAATTTAGTTATTTAAATATACACTAAGTATTCGCCAAGTTTGCGAAACTCTAAAAAACACAACTTTTTTTTTCCAACGAGCTGCAGATTGGTTTATCAATTGAATCAATGATTTCGAAAACCAACAAAACTAATTTTACAGGCGAAACAAAAAAAAAACTTATCTGTTAATTAGCTTGACATTTAGAGCTTCTTTTTTTGTATTAAAATATGACTGGTTTCTAAATAATTTATTCTAATTCAATTGTGCAATAGTATCACTTAATTTTTCTATTTAAAAAATAATTAGAACTTGGAGATGACAGATTTTCGGACAAAACCTTAAAACGAATATTATACATTATTTTTAAAAAGCGAAAATATTAATAATTTGTCATTAAGAAATTAAATAAAGATTTTATTTAAGTCTTATACTATATATTCATGAGTTGTTTTGCTAAAATTTATATTTTGCTCTGTATAAAAATTTTAAAAATAAGGGTATTTTAATGTTTTACGTAAGCATTGCTCATACTCATTCTCCCCCCTTTACAACAAACCCCCCATTAGGTGCTTACATAATATTTGAACTGTTCCGAAAATATGCTATTTTTAAATTTAATTTTCAAAAGCTTATAGCAAATATTGTCACAGACAATTTAGTGAATGAATATTTTTTAAATGTAAATAAAAACTGTACAATTTTAAGCACAGTATATTCGATTATATTAAAAATCATAAATATTATTTTTTTTAAATGTTTTATTAGTAAATTTTCAACATGACTAGAGCAATAATACGAAAGAAATTCCAGAAGTGATGCTTCTTAAAAACAACAAGCTCCTCAAACTGTTCAGAAACTGCAAATATGCTAAGCAAATGTAAAGACAGCATTTTCTTTAAGACGAAGGACATGTGTCGTGAATCCTGAGATTCTTTTATGATTAAAAAGAAAAAAAGAAAAAATTCGAAAAGAAAAAAATTGTTGCCGCCATTTTTGGTGTTAAGGTACATTTTTATGTACAGAACTGCAGTTATCGTGCAAAAAAATTACATAAAATTGCCACGATAAGAATTGTTTGAAAGATTTACGGCTAATATATAACTAAAATGTGCTTATTCTTTCCCGATTGTTTTTACAATGAAATTTATTTGAATGCACATTAAAATGCGTGTCGTCAGTAAACAAACTAAGAATAATAAGTAAATAAATAAAACGATAACAGTAAACAAGTAAATAAAAATATGACTATAGTTTGTCTACGTAAAGAACTCCCCTAGCCATTCGTCTGGAGTAGTGGTGGCTATAGTTACGGGGTTTAACCATTTCAAGTAGGAATGTTAGGTCATTATTTAAGACAGGTTTTGACTCAGGTCGGCGAGAGAAAGGGAGTCAGGGGAGAAAGAAGCTTCCCTGTTTGAAATGCACTATTTCTTGTTGCCATAGCTGCAGATAGCCTTAACCTTCGAGGCTAGGGGAGTTCTTTCTATAGACAAACTATATATGCACAGTAAACAGATTTTAGTTTATCTCATCAACAAAAATAGTGGTAACTATACAACCAAATTTCTTACGGTATATATGAACTGCCGCAGTTTATTCATTTCAACAACGTGTATTTTATATTCTGTTTGAGACCATTATAGTTTCAAAGTCCCATAAAAAGTCGTATTATTTCATCAAAGAGCTGCATTCATTCGAAAAGATTTATTTATTTTTAGTAACAATGACGTAATGTATTTAATATAATATAATGCATGTACTCAAATGTAAAAGTTTGTAAGAATATCGAATCATTGTAACATGTTAGTATTTTAATGTTGTTTTTTTTATTTCTATATATATTTTATTAGCTCTTAACTTATCACTTTAGACTCGCACTTAAAAGCAGATTTTCCGTGAAACCTTTTTATTCTGAAAAGAAGAACTGTCATTCTATTTTTAATTGAAAAGGCTTTAAAATTGATTATTTTTCTTTCAGATTCTCAGTTTTCTGTCTATAGCTACGAATCTTCGGGTCATGAGGCAAATGAATCGCCATCTCATGATTCAAACATGTCCGTTCAAACCAACGATGGATCTGTGAAAAATAATGCTGGTAAAAAAACGAACCATATAACAAAGCAACTTGTTCAAGAAACCCTTATGGATGAAGGGCTTCGAGTTGTTAAAGAATTAGCTAATCAAATAAAAGATGAAACGGATCATGTATCTAAGCCTGAAGGTAGACCTAGGGGCCGTCCACCACGATTAGAAAGAGATTATATTCTTACTACAGCCGGCTCAACCACTCCTAAACATTATACGGACTTCATAAATAATATACGAAATGCAACTGCTCCTGTGACTCCCATTCAAAATGGACACAGTCCGACATCTGTCGGTGTGCCTTCCGAAACTGAATGTCATAATGGCATGATTATGAACTTAAGGTCACATCAAGTGTCTGAAAGGAACAATATTTCAATGAATAACTCTGACAATAATCATACAATGTTAGATCTGCAAGATGATGTTGTAAGTAATGAATCAGAAAGCAGTCTAAAAGCCCTTCTTGCCTTTTCTCAAAAGGGCATAAAACAAGAACCTTCATCTCCAAACAGTGTGAAAATGGACTGATTGATATTTTTGTTAGAATAAGCTAAAGTATGTGATATTTTCTGTATCATCATTGCACTTGCCATTTTCAAAACGGCGAAAAACTCTGAATGCTAAGCCATAATTGTACTACAGTTGACTGACAACAAAATATTGAAGGCAATGGTATGGATTCAGAGTTTCAATTGAACTATATGCAATGGATACAGTTGGCAGAATTACTGCTGTTGTGCAATATGTAACATATGTACAGGCAATATTAATAAATTACATTTATGGCTCTATATTCCCTGCCCATCAGTCTATGTTGTTTGACTGCAACAAAGATTTGAAAAAAAAGTCTGTGATTTTTTTCGTTATCCGTTTACTGTGATGGATATTACAGATCTGTGGAAGCAAGTGATTGATAGATACGAAAATGTTTATGTGTTCAGTTAAATGAAATACCATCAGCAGTCATTCTCTAATTTTTGCCAATCCAGTTCATAATTGAAATGTAGTTTAATACGCATAGAAATCATTCATCAATTGTTGTTAGTTATTTGAACACTGACAGTGATTTTTAATTTTATGCCCACCCACTATTAAAAATTGTTGGGCTGTTTTGTGGTGCTTTCACGGAATATTTCCAATTTCTTTTTCATCACCTGTATTGTTACATAAATATAATTTTTTTTGTAAACATATTTACTTTGATCCTCAGTATTCTGTATTATATTAAATTATCTTTAAAAAATAAATATATGAACTAGAGAGACATTTATATAATAGATATATCTATACATTTATATGCATATCGATTACAAATTTCAATATTATTTTTATGATTGGAAATATAAAACAGATTCATAAATAGCGAGTTTAACTAGTCAAAAATGTAATATAATTGTTCACATTTATTTACTATTTAGTTATATCGAGTTTCTTACAGTAATTTACACTCACGTTACGCATATCTTTTTTCAAGAATTTTCAACCATTTATGGGTGAGTTTTAAAAGACATTCAAAATTATGGAAAGGCATTTATGGCGAAATTTTTGAAATAGAATTTTAAAAAAATAGGCAAATGCTGTCTAGTTATAAGGATTTCTTTTTTAAATCTTGTTTGTTATCTGAAAAAAAAGAATAGTGTTTGACGAATGAACACGAAAAACTAATTATTGTATGCTATATTTTTCAAAAATATTTAGTATTCATTTTATTTTGTTTGTAAATTTTGATCTAAAATTTAAAGAAATTGAAGAAAAAGAAAAGAAAAAAAAAGAAAAACATGTATACCACACTAATATATTATTTTGCATTATTAATTTAATATGAACTAATACTTATTATGTGTTTCATATTCAATTAACGCACGAATTTACGAAATAAAGAGCTTAAAGGTGAATTTCATTGAATGTTATCTTTATTTTTTTCCAACAACTGAAAAAAAATTATATGCACCCATCAATGGTACTAAAATATTATTGCTTTTACTTTATTATTTTGATATATTTATATATTGAAAATGTAAGTCTATTATTATGTGTATTATCATTTAAATTGTATTTAAACAATAGCTTTCAAAGGCTATCAAAGAATTAACGGTATTGTTTTATTATTTATAGAAATTTTACTGTGAACTTACTTAGTGAACAATTTTTAGTTGTAACTGTGTTAATTTCAAATTTTACTTTTGTTATTTTTTTTTTCGTATTATCTTTTTTTAATACAAAACACTTCGCATAATTTAATGCACTAAATTAATAACAAGGCATCATTTTTTATTCCTTTAAAACTGAACAGTATAATTCCTGAATTTTAGTGAAGCTTAAAGCCCATTTTTAAATACATAAATGTGTTTCAAAAACTTATAATTCGTATGTCTAACATTATGCTTTCATACATTCCTGTTTTTTCTGAACTTAATTATCTAGTTATTGAACTTAATTACCTAAGCTTAATAATAGAATCTAATTATTAATTACGAAAAGGATATAAGTATCCGCCACTTCAAATTCTAAGTGATGACAGCAGTAGGCCTAAAATTGGTGTATAGTTATTGTAAAGTTTCTAAGAGCAATTCAGTGAGACAGCTTATAGAGCCATCTAGTGACGAGTTTTGGAGTTAGCTTCCTTAATTTTTACCATTACCTTTTCGAGTTTATTACCATCGCAGTTATACTGTTACACCATGACTAGTTGACCCAGTAAGCTGCCTTTTTTTTCCTCTCTTAAAGCGTTTCATTAAATTCCATTTTTTGGAAAATCATCATATTAAGCCAGCATTGCTCTACATTTTGTAATTTACTTTTTTCTCTTACTGCCTTTGAAATTCGAGCACTAGTTCCAAAGTTTATCGCTGGGTGGCTCTGTAAGTGGTTTTATATCGGTAACAACCACTTTTCAATATCTAGACTCTATTTTCATGACTATAGCTGCCATCATGAGAAAATGAAATATTGACTTAATTTTGCAACAAGTATAATATCCTATAACATTAACATTAATATAGCCACAATTTATGTAATTATGGATTACTTATTTCTTTTCTATAAAGAGAATTTAGCATTTTGTGCAAAGTTGATTGTAAATAGTTGGAGAATACGAATTTCAACTTAGAACCTGTACAGTTTCTATACAGCATTTATTTTCTAACTCAAACTAATTTGTGATATTGTTAATATAAAAACGTTCACACATAAAATAGCAAAAACATACATAAATAAATTAATGTGATATTAAATACGGTGATTCCAGTGATGTCTTTCTTTGTAAATTGTGGAAAATATTATTGGGTGATAGATTCTTAAGTACATTAGTGTTGAGAATTTTTTATGTATTGTTTAGATTCAAATTATTTGTATTTTTTACTATTTTCACAGATTATTTTATTTGCATTTTGGTGTGTTCATTGTGTTTCATTTGAGTTTTTCTTCGACAGTTATATTTTTGTAAGACAATAGTGTTTGCTGTAGAAAAGATCCACGAATTGCTGCAGATCTGTATACCATTATATATGTCTTATTTGTTTTGTCAAATACAATCTTGTTTTCAAAAAACACATTTGTATCATTATTTTATTTTTTATGACAAGCTCACATTCTCTCACTTTTCCCCGCTAATATCATTAGTTTTTTCTTTTTTTTTGGTCGTATGTCTGTTTAGACAGAGGGGGTGCGATTGTTCCTGTTTTTCAGTGGCGCCATCTATGGCCAGGACTTCGACTTCTGCCACGCCATTCACACAACCACAACCCGTTTATAGGGCGTGTCACATTCACACATATTCACACGCAAAGGAGAAAGGACATAGAACACACAGAGAGAAAGAAACATCCATGCCTTGCCCGGGATTCGAACCCAGGACCCTTCCGATGCAAGGGCAGTTCTCTGCCCCCTACACAGGCCGGTCGGCATATCATTAGTTAAATGTTGATTTTAAGTAAATATTCAAGTATATCCTTAAAAGAACGATGTAAATTAAAAATGAAATTTTTTATTTTTGTGGTTAGAACCTATTTTTCCTGGGGTATGTATGCATGAAACCTTATGCACCAAGTTTTTATGAAATAAAAAAAATAGCGAATTTAAAGAGTTTTTAAATATTAAAGCCAAGTCATAATTTTTGAATAATATTTTATACAATAACAATTAATGCTGTGAAATCAGCTGGAGAATAACGAAAAAAAAATTAATAACTTTTTTGTTTTTTTAAGATAGCCACGAGAATTCAAAACGCGTCAAAATTATTAAAAACTAAAATTAAGTGAGGTTCATTGATGAAAAATAAATTGCTAAAATTTGCATTTACTAAAATAATTTGTAAATTCAAATAAATCTGTTAATTAATAATTGAATATTTTTTTCTTCTGCATGCGAAAAATTACGTTTGAGTAGTCTTAATTGATTAATCAATGAATTTAATCATTTCAAACTAATAATATAAATAGCAATATTTTTTGAACCAAGCACTTGATATATGTGAGCACCGGGTGCATTTTTAAAACAGCCCTTAAAATAATCGTAACCATATTCCAGATTGAGGATTCTAATGGATTAATTAAAATATTTTAATTAATTAAACGAAAACATCTCTTACGTTACACGTTATTTGGAAAAAATCGCAATTTTTTTAAACTTCGAAGACAATGTTTAAAACGAATGTAACAGAAAATGCTTTATGTTTTAATAAATAAGAAAAATTAAATATTCATCAATATTTTTTCTTATCATAAATGAGTTTGCTTTCGAAAAATTTAAATTCAAATTGTAACTTTCGATGTAACATTTGTTTTAAACTTTCTTGTGTCCATAAATTTTAAAACCAATGAACAATGTAATTACTAAAAAAATGTTGCGCAAGAGGCAGTTTTAATGACGGGTTAAAGAAAATTTTAAATTATATTTCTATGATGTTTCAATATTTTTATGAAACTTGGTGCATACAACAAAAAAAAATCAGTTTTCTAGTATCAAAAATTCAAAAAACTATTTTGAAAATTTTATAGTTCTTTTAAGAATTAAATATACTAACCACAAGTTTATTTGATAAATATATTCTAAATGCTAAAAATTAACCAGAGCTACACTAATCATCCAATCGTGCATCATAATTTCGAACTAGAACACGGATACATTATTGTGGGTTCATTAAAATATGATAGGCGCAAAAATAACGTCTTCCATGAACTGTAAAAATATTGACAACTCAAACTTCATGAAATTCTCATTATTCTTGCTGAAATCGTTTCCTGAGAAATGTGCGACATTTCATCAAATTGAATTTATCTTAACTTGCTTAACGATACGAATTTTGTCAAATCATTCGACTTAGTACTATATATCGGTTAGCATAATGAATTAATAAATTCAGCATAATAGAAAAAGGAACAAGTTTCTCAGTCATTACCAGGATTACATCCAGGAAAACTTGCTTGCTAAGTAAGCGTTCTAATCTCTATATCTTCCCGTCGTGGTTTTAAAACGAGATTAAAAAAATTGCCCGAGAATTCCAAGCATGCACTGAGGTGACACTGGAGTGACTATATGGTTACATACAGTATTTAAAAGTTCATATTTTGCCAAAATGCCTATAATTTCTTGAAAGAATTTTTGACAAAAATAACGAAATGCAGCTCGAGGATTACTGAGTTGTCGAAAATGAAATTCTAGTTCCAATTATGCAGAGATGTTATCTTCTAGCGAAATTCTAATGAGTTCTCACAAAACGAGAGGAAAAAAATAATTTAAAACATAAAGATTTTTTTTCAATATTTCTGTTCGTGTCTCTAACTAATCTCTAAACGCCAATTTTTTCATCTAAGTTTGTTTTTAAAAAAAAACATAAAAATGACAGAATAGCACTGTTGTTCATAAGTTGTTTTTTACTTATATTTTGCAAAAAAAATTTATCAAAACTCTGTTGGTCAGAAGCAGTGCTTGACGAGAAATTATATATTTTTTCGTGCTTGAATAAATTCCAGAAGACAACCAATTGCGCCATATAATAACTCCATGATCCATGATATTAATTCATTACTCATATATTCATGTTAATGTATCAACTCCAAGAATAGTTATAACAACAATATTTTTTTACCACTGGCAACAAACAACCGATTCAAACATTGGATGTGTGGTTCTTAGTGTTCAACCTCGCAGTTAAGTAATGGGACAAAATGGTTTTTGAGAATGACTTTTTGAGTAAAACATAAAAGAAGGAAAAACCTTCCCACTGTCAGCCCGACTGCAAGAGCGCTTGATTATTTACCTATGTTACTGTGAATGACCGAAATTGGTGTTTGTTGACTTCCACCGGCGAATGTTGACAATCACTTAGTCACTTTGGTAAATGTCCGAAATATATACTAGGTCTAGTTAAGTGCCATTGACCAGTACACATTGGCGAGGTATGTCCTACATCAATGTTTCTATAAGATCAAGTGCCATTACCCAGCATGTATTTAACCAGTACTCGGGAGACTGATATTTTTCCTAATCTATCCTCAACAGATATTAAAATATCGAATAAATATAATAATATCAACGAATAAACTGATATTGAATCGGATATAACCAATATTTCGAACACTCACCAAAGCGACTATGTGATTGTTGGCTGGTGAAAATCGACATTGGCTGGTGAAAGTCGACATTCTCTTGTTTTCTGTCATTCATGGTAACATCTATAAATGGTTATATTTTGAGTCAACACTGCCATGGAATATACTTACCATGCTATCGGAGAACCGATCGAGTTATCGTCGGGAATAAGTTCTCGTATATATTTTTAACTAATTTTACATCCTGCAGAACACGACTTTGTGTTTTTAATTTGGTTTGGTTGTTAACGTTGCACTTCAACTAAACTAATGGACTAAGTTGTTCAGTAGCAATATTCGTTGTTTTGTTAATATAAAGATGAATGACATTCATCTCTAATGAGGATCCAAAGTTAATACTGGCGCATATTTTCATTGCTTTACCACAATTTAAAGCGGCATTGGTAATGACCCAGTTTCCAAACTACGCCACGCAACCACCCAACCGAATGTAGACTTTTCCTTCTCTGAAACTGATGCTGACGTTACATTAAAGTGGTTTCCGAACACTGCAATCTGATGAGAGAAATCAAACCCCTGCCTAACTGCTTAATTATTTCTCAGTATTTCCGAAAAACACTAGGGACAATTTTTTTTTTCTGTAAATTGATATGATTTGTTTTTATTAAACGATGAAACTGTTATACAACTGTATTTAAGGGTTTTAAAAAAATATTTCGATTAATTTCATAAAAAAATTATTTTTATTTGCTTCTATTACTGCAGAATTCAGTAACAATATCTCCTCACCCGGATATATCGAATGTAATGAGAGGTATTAAAGTAATCTTTCTTAAACTTGTTTTCGCTAATATTGGAGAAAATGATTAAACTAAATATTTCAATAAATTTTTTGACAATATTATATTTTGCACAAATTTTATCATATACACTTCAACGAAACATTACTTCTGCGGTTAAGAAATATGTAATTTTACTTTTCAGAAAATAATCTTTTATTTCACATTACTTTGTGTAACTATATTTGCTGTTTTAGCAATAAACTTGCTTCAGATGGAAACCGCATAAATAGTATTTTTCAATTTAATATTAACCTAAGGTAAAATATCCTACCACTTTTGTAGTTAAGCAATAAAATAAGGTAATTGATGTTAGATACTTTTTAATTTTCTTATAATTTTAAAAATTAATTACGTCAAAAAATGCTTTTATTTTTTACTTAAAAGATGATATCCTCTATAAAACGCTTCAACTAAATGAAAGTTTTCAAAATGTATTCATTTAATATCGTAAACATGTTTATACATTTAATCCTACTTAATTGTTGTGACAGATGTTACGCTATCTTTTAACAACATTCCTGAGATTCTCTTAAATCTGAAACAAGGTTATATAAAATTCATTGTTAAAACATCTGATCACAGTGAAAATTTGCCTTTGCAAATATTTTCGTAACTTGCAATTTAATTTGAGTTACTTTTCACCATCCTCCCGCACTTTCCAGGGTAGCATCAACAACAACATGATCCTCCACCCTTAATGGCGATGGTAAGAATCATGATATAGATTACTGACAATAAAAAATTAGTTACCACATTAAAAAAAAAAGGATGGTCAGGAATTTTGAAAAAGGTGATATTTACCGAAGCGCTTGGTAGTGATTTTGGTAAAATTAACAATAAAAATGCTTTCAAAATATGTGTAAAAAATTTATTGATTCTAACCTTAGACCATGGTATAAAAACCACTTATTTGGTAAAATTTATTTTTCAGCTATGTATTTTTTACTAAATGTGTGGAAATAAGAAATATAGTTTTGAAAACCAGAATAGCATTACCATATTAACCGAAAAATTACCAAATGAGTTGTTTAAATACTGTATATTTTTTTTAATTAACCAGAAATGTCCTTACTTAAAAATACGATTATTTTAACAGATTTTGTGTCTTCTTGAAAAAGGTCGAAATAGCATCCAAATTGTATTTTATAAGTGCCAATA